CGCAACCCTCGGTGCTGCGCCCGCCCCTCGCTCAGCCAGTGAGCGGGAACCGGTCTGTATGTGGGATCCGAACCCTCGGCGGGAGCGCCACCGCAGTCCCAAGCGGCGCACTGTAGCAGTGCGCCACTGGGCCGGCCCGAAACTGTCAAGTTCATTCCATGTAATCCTCAAAAGGTTAAGAGGGTCAAAGGCAATAAAATAAAGTCTTGCCTTTCTGCTCTTCTGAATCATTTTAATTTTTTCTACAATACACACATATTAACTTTTTGTATAAGAAAAAAGTATTTATGTTCTATAAATAAGTCACTTCAGGTTGAAAGTAGTTACCTTAATATTTTCATTGGGATACTTTTGTGTGGCATGGTTACAAAAGAAAATATTTTACAAAGCTCTGAAAATTATTTTAATGATAACTGGGTTGTTAATTGGGGTGGATCAAAAGTGTACAATTCAAATTTACAGAAAATGGCAAAAAAGTTATATTCAAAGGCTCTTTCATAATAAGAACACCAAAATATATCATCACATAGGAACCTTTAATGCAAATATAACTGCTGTCCTTTTGTATAGTTCAAGATAAGAACTTAGCAAACAAGGTGACTGACAATATGGCTAATCTCCATACAGATACTTTCTCATTTTTGAAAAGTGCTTTTAATATACACTCCAATCACTTCAAAAAGAAAAAAAGTCACTTTTAGAAATCTGAATAGCATTACTCAAAACAAAATGTTGAGATTTAAAATCTTTCAAAATAATGGGATTTAGTTAAAAGGGAGGAAAAAATCAACAGCTGAATCATATTTTACTAATAAGATTCTTTAAAACATTTTACTTAGTCAAATTGACACAGGAGGTGCTCAGTTTCCCTGGGCTCGGGTTACAGGACATGCTTCTGGATTACAAGCCACTCCCCAAGGTTTCAGGCTCCTCCTCTAGGCCTCCCCTAGAGGAAAGTTACTATTGGTAGTTAGACCTATATTCAGCACCAACACAGGGAAAATGAGACAAGGGGCTGGCTTATGCAAATCCAGTGGCTGGGCATGCTCAGTAGAGAGGGGTTATATAACCCTCGTGGCTGGGCATGCTCAACAAAGTGGAATTTATCCTCTGAATGACTTTCCACTAGCTGTGCAAGAGAGCACAGAATATTCTTGAATATGCCTGGTGCATGTGATAGGATTTGACCAATAAACATGCTCTAAGAAGAAATGAACTGAGCATGTGCAAGACTATGTTACATAACTGGGAACCCATCCCCTTCATTGAATATTCATTAGGTAGCAAAACCATAAAAGCCAAATCCCAGCAGAAGGCCAGGCCGTTGCTCACTCTCCTGGAGCCACCCCAAACTCTGCCTGTGGAGTGTGTATTTCTTTCTTTTTGTATCAGACTTACTTTCAGCAAGCAGCTGCTCATTCTCTTGTCTGTACTGAACTTTAAATAGGTATTTCTTGCTTTTGTGTTAAACTTACTGTGGGCCCTGCTCAGCCTCTGGAGCTAGGTTGCACTCTCTCTGTGAAACCTGTATCTCTTATGTGTATTAAATCTGTTCTCATTTTCTGCTATTGAATTCTTTCCTGTGGTAGAGTCAAGAACCTGATAAGAGAACAGGGTAGGTTGAGGCTGACTATCAGGGCGCCCAGACCCTACCTCTGACATCAAAATAGAGAAAGCAGAGACTTTAGATTATCTCGATAAACCTCTCAAATCTAACCAGAGGCCCATCTATGTCTTCTAGTTCTCTGAAAAGCATTACCACATTTTGCTGAATGCAGGAGATATCCAGTACCCCTCTGCAGTTAAAGGACCACCACAGGAGTATAATAAGGACCCTGTGGGTTTGGGAAGCTACAGTAGCTGCCTGAGATCAATGGTCAGGAATAGTAACCATCTCCAGAGTCAAGCTGGTTTACTCCTGACATGTAACTGTCTTTACCTCCTGACCAGATATTTGCAGCACAAAATAGCTTATCTTAACCAATCTGAGGTTTTACACTAGATGATGATAAAACAGCAGCTAACACTATTTGTCAGGCAATATTCTAAGTACTTTTTATTTTTAATGCATTTAATCACCCCCAAAACTCTATAAATAGGCAACAATTTTATCATCCCCATTCTACAGATGAAGAAATCGAGGCGTAAAAAGGTTAAATAACTTACCCAAGGTGACACAGCCAACAAGCCACAGAGCCAGGTTTTCAATCCAAGCATTCTGGCTCCAGAACCCATACCCCTAACTATTATTACACATACTATTCTGTGTCGCAGTACATTGTTATTTTTTTTTAACATAGTAACATAGTATTTTGTTTGTTTGTTTGTAGGGTTCTTTGGCAGCTGGCCAATAGGGGGATCTGAACCCTTGACCCTAGTATTATCAACACAGCATTCTGACCAGCTGAACTAACTGGCCAGCACGAGTAGAGTATTTTTTAGGGTAGAAAAAAATAGCTTAAGGAAGTAGTCTTAACCTAGGTGGGGAAACACCCCATCAATTAAACCTCTGAGCATGTACCCCCACCGTGATTAAGAATGATATACATATACTGCTGTACTGATATCACATACATCATAAAACATCTGCAAACATGAAGAATGTAATAAAGATAAAAAAATTTTATGAATATTTTTATGTTTAAAATATAGTATTTTGGGGCTGGCCAGTTAGCTCAATTGGTTGAGCTGATAACTCCAAGATCCACAGTTTAAGTCTTGTACTAGCCAAACGCCAAAAAAATAAATAAAAATAAAATAAAATATAGTATTTAAAAATTATATATATTAATACTGCAAAATTTCTTTGTCCTCACTCAAAATATTATTTTGAACAAGAGCAAATAATTATATTTTGAGTGAGAGCAAAGCTTTTTGAATATGCTTCCCTATAAATACCTTGTTAAGGTGCTAAATCTTCTTAAAGTCTTGGTTTAACATCTTTTGACAGTTATTTGAACGTTGGATTCTTTAGATGACGAATTTTCATGTCAATCACTGATGCAATAACTAACCCATTATTTAATCTCATCAGTCAATTATTCAAAAGTTTTAAAATAATGTGTTGCCATCTTGTCCTAATGAGAATCACTTGTCCTACACATTAACTCTGAAGGCGCTACATTTTAACATTGGGTTAATGATTAACAATTGGGTTCTAAACTACTGAAACTTTTTATCTGCTAGATTAACATGCCAGAAAATTCAGTTTCCCAGTTTAAGTGAGCCAACATGTGAGTTCTCATAGATGACATGTTTTCAGCCACAATCCATTTTTTAAGAACTTTATTGAGATACAATTCACTATACCATACAATTCACCCACTTAAAGAATACATTTCAATGGTTTTTGGCATAGTCACAGAGTTGCACAACCATCACCAGAATCAATTTTAGCACAATCTTTTTACATGCTTACTTTGTAGCAACTGCTTTTTTAAAAAGCATTTACAAAGCAATTCCTTCACACTGAACAGTATGTACTAAGAGTAGGAATCTTAATTCTGCCATTTTCTTTTTGCTGTTAGATGCTTACATTACTGTATCATCTTAAATCTGTGGTTTCTCTGCAAAAAAATCTTTTATGTTACTAATGTATTTTATGAGTGTTAATTTAGTTTAAACTAGAAAAGAGAATCATAACACCATTTGCTGGGCCCCAAAGCACAGTGAAAGCAAACCAACAACAAATGAGGGCACCTCAATAAGTCCTCACTCCTCTCTCAGTTTACCTCGGATACTGATGGACCACGTGTGGATGCAAGAACTAATCCATTATTAGAAGCTTCTAAAAAATAAAAGCTCTAATATTTCTTCCCGCACACCAATAGATAGTTTTGTGCATTACCAGAATACATGAATCCCACCTTGGGAGCAATGGCTTAAGGTTCAAGCAAAAGTGTATTTGAAACCCTGAATTTCACTTTGTTATCACAGCTGAAATGATTCCCAAAAGACATACTACGCACCAATGTCTGGACATTGGCAACAGGAGCAAAAGAAACAAAGAACTTTCTGGAGATCTGCATTTGCCTATACTTAAGCAATGCCTTCCCTTGTAATGAACCTGAATGAGGCAAGTGTAGGCCCTCTTGGGAATGGTAAAGAGGTTTCAACTCATGCCAATTTTAGTTGGCTAATAGCAACTGCCTGGAAAGCTCTGTTGAGAGGATGCCAAGGCCTGTCCAGGGAAATGAAGCAAGATGATCAACAGCAATGTTGTGGCCAATACACCAGCCATTACCATGCTAAACAGATCTTGACCACTTGCAGCTTCTCCCCACTACCCACTGTCTTCTACTCTTACATTCCACACCATGCTGCAGGGAAACTGGGTTTGAGGTTGCCTTCTCATCAGGCAACACTCGAACTTAGAAGCAGAAGGGGACCCAGGTGGAGAACTTTTAATAAGAGAAGTGAGTGATCATCATGGAATTGGATGGAACAAACTCACACTTCTGGATGGCTCTCAGGAATTTTTGTTCTCCTATGCAGCTATGAACTGCTACAGACCAGCAAAGAGAGGCACTGGGTTCTGGTCAGCTGTTATAGTTTGGTTGACTTTCTTTTTTCTAAATTCCCTTTTCTATCCATCCTCAAATTATCTATGACTGTAAGAGCAAAGTGGATCCAGATTGTAAGGTATATACTGAATTCTGAATACACACCTTCATTTAGGAAAAATGTAAAAGGAGAATAGATACTTAATATATTCCTGCAGGGCCAGCCCGTAGCTCACTCGGGAGAGTGTGGTGCTGATAACACCAAGGCCCCGGGTTCGGATCCCATATAGGGATGGCCGGTTCGCTCACTGGCTGAGCGTGGTGCTGACAACACCAAGTCAAGGGTTAAGATCCCCTTACCGGTCATCACTTTAAAAAAAAAAAAAAAATATATATATATATATATATATATTCCTGCAGAGGTCACATTTGGTTTCCTAAATGGGAAGGGGTAGAATTAGTACCACAATACTCTTATGTGGCCATTATACACATGATTGAAAAAGAAAGCCGAACCACTTATACCATCAAATTATCAGGCAGGTGACTTACCTCAGAGGAAGTAGGATGCAGTAGCGTACTATGACGCCCAGCACCCACACCACAGTGAGCCGCGGACTAATGTACTGGAAGTTTATATTGGTTCTTGTGAGGAGATTCCATGACACTAGCTCCTCTGAGGAAAACCTCTGGGTCACTTCATCTTCCACAATGGCCTCCAATCCCTTCTTGGAGAAATAAAACACGTCAGACAGCTCAAAGTCCCTTCCTCGCAGACCAGAGAGCCCTTTTTCCATGGGTGACTCATCTCTTTGGATAATACCTTAAAAGAAAGCATCAGAACATGAGAAAATGCCATAGAACAGAAGAACAACTGACCAAAGGGGCAGTTTAACTGTGTAGAATACGGAAAACAAATAAATATGTTTAATGGGTGACGTGAAGCACATTTCAGAAATAAGAGACAAGAAAGAAGAGAGAAAAGAGGTGAAATCACTGTGTTTACACAATACAGCCTCTACCCAATGATTCCAGTTAACTATGGAGGAATTTTAGTTCTTCATAACCCTGTTGCTTAGGTTTCTTCCCTACATCCATTAGTGAAAGAACTCACAGAAACAAACTCTCCCCAAGTATAGATCTATCTAGACTGTGTAAAAATAAAAGACTTCTGTTCATCCTTAATAAAGGCCATAGTCAAAACACAAGCAAAATGGCAAAAGAAGGGGCTGGCTGGTTAGGTTAGCTCAGTCAGTTGGAGCACAGCCTAATAACACCAGGCTCATGAGTTCAGATCCCATACTGGCCAACCACCAAAAAAAGGGGCAAAAGACACGTACCACAAATGGCAAAAGATTAATGTTTTTAATATGTAATAGTTTTTTAATAAGAAAAACACAGGCTCCTGCAGAAAAGTCAGTAAATTTCATGGCCTGAATTCATAGAAGCAACATAGTTAATAAATGTATCAAAAAATGTTCACTCGTAATCAAAAAATGTAAAGTAGACAAAGATTAGCCAATTTACATTATCAAATCAGCAACTTTTTTTTTTCTTTTAAAAGATGACCGATAAGGGGATCTTAACCCCTGACTTGGTGCTGTCAGCACCACGCTCAGCCAGTGAGCGAACCGGCCATCCCTATATGGGATCCGAACCCGTGGCCTTGGTGTTATCAGCACCGCACTCTCCCGAGTGAGCCACGGGCCAACCCAGCAACTTTTTTGCTTAATGATGAAGTTCAATGACTAAAATGATATAGGTACTCTCATATTCAACTTGTACAAGTGCGGAACTAGTAGCAATTTTGTCGAAATTGGTTTGTTATGAAAAGACCAAAAATAGTTTTGCTGATGATCAATAATTCCAATTTTAGGAATCTGTCATAAGAAAATAATCGGTAATGTAGGCAAAGGTGTTCACTGTACATTCTTCATTATAACCAATCCAGACAGGGAGATATAATGCATCCCTTAATAAATACTCTAATGGTAAGCAAAAAAAGACAGGATCTAAAATTATAGTTTAATCTAGCTCTGTGAAATATATATATACACAATAGGAAAAGTGTCAAGAAGAAAACATCAAGTGGTTATCTCTGGGCAATGGGATTAGATTTTCCTCTCTATACTATTATTGTATTTTCCATAAAGAAAATAACTCAGAGATTTTTTAAATAGCATAAATTTTTGGAAACTGAAAAATGACTATTGCTACCCAGTTCTAACTACTAAATATGAATAATAAATGAGAAGGTCTTCAGAAAATAAAGAGTAGCTATACACACAGTAATATGACTATCCAATTTGTTCCTCTGGGGTGTGTAAAAAAGAAATTTACTTACTACACTAGGCTACAAAGAAAAATCTTCTCTTTTGAGGTGGAGATTAAGATGTCAAATTCCCTGAAAGAAGATCCCCTTTCTTTCACTTTCCAGTTTACTAGGAAATTAATGAAGAAAGTAGAGAGTGCTATATTACCTATTCCCTGGAGAACTTATACATGTATCAATAGAAAGAGCTTGAATATTCCAGTTTTTTGTTTTTTTGAAGGAATGGCAGAATGATGCATTAGAGAAGGAAAGAAGACCTGGAGTCAAAATTCAAGCTCTGTTAATGACAACCACCAGCTGCATGAAGTGAGAGAGTGGGAAAATGTTTAGTTTCCTTACAAGGCTGAGGTTTAGTGATTTAGGTTTTGTGTTTTTTGGTGAGTTTTATTTACATATATATATGTAAATAAGGTAAGCTTTATTTACATATATATATATGTAAATAGAACAATAAGGTAAGCTCTTGAATGATCATTAGGTTATCTCTTCCAGTAGTCAAATCTAAGTGGTTTAAACTTTCTGCACAATCTCTGAAAAAGGTTTAATTAGTATTAGAGGATGAACCAAGATAGTGTTCCTACTGAATTACCCTCTTGCTTTACAGGCACTGAATTACCACTCGAGCAGTTACTCAATCCAAGCACTGGCCAATATTTAGCAATGCAAGAGTTTCATTATTTAGCAATATATAGATTTTTTTTTTTTATGTCTAGAGGGGGAAGAAAGAACAAGTTATTCAGTAAATCTCTGAATGAAATACAATGGGGGACAGCGGACTGCCCTTCTAAAAATAACCTTTTGCAAAAGGGCCAGCAATAAGAATGCAAATTCAAGTTGCATCATACTATTTAACAGAGCCAACAGAGAAGAGATCTGCAAAGAGAAGCCAGCCACCCTACCCCTACACACTTCATATGTAATATTTTCTCTACCCCTTGACGTAGTTTATTCTGTGTAATTCAAATAAAATGTGATTCCATTTTATGTTTTGGTCAAGCAACTTTCAGAAGTATGTGGGTAACTGCAATGCATCTAATTGACACAGGATTAATTTACAGAATATGTTAAGACATATAAAAAATTAAAGGGAAAAACTCAAAAAATTCAGAAAAAAAATTGGCTAAGAATATGGCAAGCAATTTTTTAAAAGATAAGCCTTAATGACTAAACATTTGAAAAAATGTCCAGCCTCCCCATAATCAAAGAAATGCAAACTAAAACCACAATGAGATGTTCTTTCATACCCATAAGATTGATAAAAATTTTAAATTGGATAATATCAAGTATTGGCGAAGATTTGGAAAAACAAGAATGTAATTAGTACAACCATACTGGAAAACAACTTGGCACTGTCTAGTAAATTCAAAGACAACCAGAACCTAGAAGCCAGCAATTCCACTCTTAGGTATACCTTAGAAAGATCTCTTTTTTTTTTTTTTTTATAATAATTTCAATGTAGGGCCGGCCTGGTGTATGTATTAGATGTATGTAATGTATTAGACCAGTGTATGTAATGTATTAGACCGGATCCCACAAACAGACCGGTTCCCGCTCACTGGCTGAGCGAGGTGCGGGCGCAACACCGAGGGCTGCGATTCCGTTGCCGGTCCCGGTCCGGTACGGGCGCGACACTGAGGGGTGCAATCCGTTGCCGGACACGAAAAAAGACAAAAAGGAGTTGCGATTCCGTTGCCGGTCCCGGTCCGGTACGGGCGCGACACTGAGGGGTGCAATCCGTTGCCGGACACGAAAAAAGACAAAAAGGAGTTGCGATTCCGTTGCCGGTCCCGGTCCGGTACGGGCGCGACACTGAGGGGTGCAATCCGTTGCCGGACACGAAAAAAGACAAAAAGGAGTTGCGATTCCGTTGCCGGTCCCGGTCCGGTACGGGCGCGACACTGAGGGGTGCAATCCGTTGCCGGACACGAAAAAAGACAAAAAGGAGTTGCGATTCCGTTGCCGGTCCCGGTCCGGTACGGGCGCGACACTGAGGGGTGCAATCCGTTGCCGGACACGAAAAAAGACAAAAAGGAGTTGCGATTCCGTTGCCGGTCCCGGTCCGGTACGGGCGCGACACTGAGGGTTGCAATCCGTTGCCGGACACGAAAAAAGACAAAAAGGAAAAAAAAAATAAAAAAATAAAAAAATAATTTCAATGTACACAAAAGTTGCAACAATAGGTAACTTTACCCAGATTCACTAATTGCCAACATTTTTGCCATATTTGCTTTATTGTTCTATCTCTATAAAGAGATATCTTAGAATATGTTGCAGACATCATGCTCTTTACCCCCAAATATTTCGGCATACATTTCCTTAAGACATAGAGATCTACCTATTTAACCACAGTACAATTATCAAAATCATAGTAGTTGACATTAACGCAATATGAGTATGTAATCTATAGACCTTATTCAAACTTTGACAATCTTTCCAATAATATCCTTTATAGCAATATTTTTTCCTCCTGGGCCAGGATTCAACCCAGGATCATTCATACCTTACATTTACATGTCAAGTCTTTTTAGTCTCCTTAAATATGGAAAGTTTCTTAGGTCTTCCTTTTTCCTTCAAGATATTGACATTTTTTAAAAGTACAGGCCATCTATTTTGTAGGATACCTCTGAATTTGGGTTGGTCTAATGTTTCTTCATGATTAAATGCAGGCTGTATACTTTTGGTGGTGATACTATGTAAGTAATATTGTACTCTTCTCAGTGCATTACGTCAGGAGTCACTAATGTTAGTTTGTCCCATGACTGAAGATATGCAACTTTGATCACTTGGTTTAAGGTGGTGCTTCCAGGTTTCTCCACAATAAGTCACTATTTTTCTCTTTAAGATTAATAAGTAGATACTTATTCCCTATAAGTATCTATAAAGGGGAGATACTTTGAAAGTATGTAAATATCCTGCTCCCAAGGGATATTTACAATATCAAACTTTGGATACTCAAACTTTCATCCATGGTATTACGATCTATTGGTGATTCTTGCCTGAATGAATTGGTACTATGTGTTTTTTAAAATTTTTGTATCACTCCTCAACCCTTCCACATTTATTATTTGGCATTTCACCTTAAAGAAGAACTCCTCCCTTATCCTCTCAGAGAGATTCTTATGAAATTATGCAACAGCAGGCACATATAAGAACACTTTGCCACATTGTTTTCTATAGCAAAATAGTGGGAACATTCTAAGGTCCATTAAGGAGGTAACAGATAAATGGATGGATTTATACAGCGCATACCGTACAGGAGTTAAAACAAGTTGGCTAGGACATTTACCAACTCAGATAATTCTCAAACATCAGAATACGCAACAATCAGAATGAATGCAGAATGTTATGTGGAAGACAATATTCTTACAGAGTTTTAATAATGCAAAACAATAAATACTATGTATTAAGGATATATACATGTGTAGATGAAGTATGGAAATATGCATAAAAATAAGTATCAAAATAAGAGTAGTAGTTCCAAGGGGGTGGCA